TCATATGACAAAACTGTTGACAAAGCATTCACAATCATCTGACATTTGGCATTACACAAAAGGCTAGTGACACACTAAGCAAACTAGGGAAAAAAAAAACAAAAACAAAAGACCAACAAACAGAAGCCTCAAAGAATACCAACAGTGGTTTGTTTCAGACTTTACCTACACATAATATTGTAAAAATTAAGTCTTCCTATCCCAATTTTAACTCGTATATCTAAAGAGATAGATATACTGTCCTCCTTGCAACATACAGGCTCGATATACTAAGCCAAAGCAAAATGCACAGCACGTGTGTAAAGGCCCATCTCAGCAAAGGAAGCACTTCCTAGATCCTAGGACAGGTTTAGCAAGACTTACAGAGTCATTCCACAGCCTGCTTCATGAGCCTACCTTCATTCCTGACTGGAAAGAAAAGCTCGATAGGTCTCCAGGGAGAAGAATTCCGAGCCCGAAACCCGTTTAGCCACCGGCTGGTGCCGGTACGGATTTAGGGTGGGAACCCGCAAGCAGTTTCCAGGCCCGATAAGGTGGAGCCGGGCCAGGCGCTGCTGAGCGGGGTCCCGCCGGGAGGCCCTGTGGGCCCGGCCCGGCCGGAGCGGGGCTCGGGTGCGGCACTGCGGGGCCGGCCCCACAGGGACCCGGCCGGGCCGCCCTTCGCACCGACCTGCCATAACGAAGGGCCCCGCACTCCAGTCACGAATCGCCACGAAATCCCGCAAAGCGCTGGCGTCCCCTCGGAGCGCTGCCCGGCAATAGCGACACGAAGACGCAAAGGCGGCGACCTCGGCCCCTCAGAGGCCGCTCCGCCCGGGGCAGCGCGGCCAGACCCGACCCGCACGGACAGACGCGGCCGCCCCGCCACCCTTCCCGGCCTCCCGCCGCCCCAGGAGCCGCGCACGGGGCGGACCCGATACACGGGACACCGGAGAGGGCCCGGCTGCCGAGCCGGCGGCACTGGGGCCGGGCGAGGCCGGCGATGGCCGCGGGTCCGTCCCCGAGCGGCAGCGGGGGCGGCGCGGCCATTTTCTCTCTTGCCGCGGCGGGGAGCGATGGCGGAGCTGCCCCCACTCCTCCCTCGGGCCCGTCCCCGTACCGGCTGGTGGACGCCATCTCGCCGGTGCCGCAGCGGTGCCGGAGACGAGTCAGGGGCACGTCCCGGTTATTAAATACCGACAGCGGCGGGCGGGGCGCCGGGCGCTCCTACGGGTCCCGCGAGGGGGCGGACGGAAGGACGGGCGGCCCCTCCCCGCGTCGGGGCGGGCCTGGCCGGCTGTGGGCTCCGGTAATGCCAGCGGTGAGGCCGCCCGAAAGCTGCGACCTCTGCCACCGAGGGCGGCTTCGGGACCAAATAGTAAGTGTTGCAATAAATCACAGTATTTATTGGGACCGTCGTTTAAAGGGTCTGCCCTGGCTTGGAACCTTGCCCGGAGGCCGGGCCCACGAGGAGCAGCCCAGGCTGCCCGCAGACCCCTTCACAAAGCCCGCCGTGCTGCCCCCGGGGTGTGACTGTGCAAACTCCCGGGTCAGCTGCAAACAGCTGAACCCTGGGGCAGCTGTTCCTGTGCAAACTCCAGCAGTTCAGTGAAATGCCGCAGAAAACAAGTGTAACTTGAAACTAAGAAGAGACAATTCCCAGAAAGGGGAAGTAAAGACAAGTTTAGTTCCCCATTACTTGCAGCTCCTGCTACATCTGTTCTGCTTTGCCACTGCGCAGATTGACTGACGAGAAGAAGCTGGCCCTTCTTGCTGCAGGAGCCGCAGGTGTCGGGCAGCCCGGCTGTGACTCACGGAAGCCCTTGGCAAACAGGCCGTGCACAGACTGGCTCGAGCAGACACAAACACCTGCTGGCTTGTGTGGGCTCCCCGTGTGACCCTGCACACTCCTGCAGGATGTGATCACATCCCCTTCTGTCTCTTCCCTCTTGCACCCACCCTGGCAGCAAACATCAGGCCAAAGAGAAGGAGAAACCACGAGAACTGTTGCAAAACCAAAGCCCTCCAGCACTGGACCCTAGTTCAGGCTTCAATTCCCTGAGAGGTAATCCTTACGCAAAATTAGTCTATACAATAAGCAGCAACAACAGGTTTTCAAACCCAAGCTATAAAAGAGTGGAAAAAATGTATTCCTTTGGTGTGACCTATTCTCACTGAAAGAGAGGGATGGATAGGACAGGACGGTCTACAGATCTTGGAAAGTGCCATTACTTCAATGCTTTAAAGTGATCAGTATTGAAGTCTCTTAAGTTATAAATTTGCTATCTATCAATCAGATATAAAGGACTTTTCACACTTAAGACCATGTCTCCACTATATAACAAGAATATTTTCAATTTGCTAGCACACAGAAGGAAATTCATGGGGTTGAAAAGTTCAGTTAATACTTGCTAATATTGAGTCAAATTCACACAACTTCCTAAAAACTTCTCTGCTGAGTAAAACACTGTGTGCTTGTTGAAAATGAGCTAGTTTGAACTTGCCAACAAATTACTTTGATTAAAAAAATAGAAACCTTTTGGAATAAAAGGAAGCTGAACTATTAAAAGGTACAAATACTAAAATACAAATTTAAAGATTTTTTCCCACTTGCCATGACCTTTTTCACAAATGCTCAGTAAACCCAAAAGATGAAAGAATAATAAAAGAGAAATCACTGTAACTGTCAATGTGAATACATTATGTGATATTGTTTCCCTATAACCTCCAAAATATGTATGGAGCAGTGACTGCAACAGATGTGCCCCATCACCACTATCAGTCCCATCAAGCCTTCCAGGTTTGTCCTGGCTTCTCCTATATTCCATTCTACAAAAAAAGTACCTCTGCTGGCCATCAATCCTCCTGACTCTATTCTTATTAGCTAAGATTAACTTAATTTTCACCACATATCATCAATTCTTTATTCCCTATCTGCAGCAACTTTCCAAGCACTTCATCCAAAAGCAGAAGACAAAAAGTAGTTGATGTGGCAGATGGAAATACTTCTATTAACAATCTCTGTCAACAACAGATCATTTCAGTAGCTTACACAAAGTTTACTTTGCTGTCCCCAGCTGTATCTGTTCTTTCCCATCACAGTAGTTCCAATAATAATCCTATTTTAAAACTTACTTAATTGGTCATTCTGGAGTTTCTTAAAATTTCATGCCAAGTATCTCATGCTGGCTACTGTCAGTAATAACAATGTGTAATTAAACTGCAATTCTTACATTGCTAATATTACCATCATCATTTCAACAATAATGCAATAGGATATTCAAATGCCTTTGCGAACACAATGAACAGTCCATTAATGAAAACAAATCATTGGTTCTTACTTGTATGTCTGAAGGTCCTTTGTAATGGTTTGTTGATTTATCATGCAGTTCAATTGCAATCTCTTAGTTCCTGCAACACCACAGCTCCCTACTGCAACTTACATAAACAGATTTTAAACTCCTTGTAAAATAGAGTGTGGATCTCACAGAAATTTAGTGCCTAAAAAATTAATTTCTCCTCAAATTTAATGTAGGAATTTCCAAATTAAATTCATGCTGAAATTTCAGTTGAGTCATTTTAATCACTGAATCGATTTTTCTACACAAAGACTACACACCACCTTAAAAATACCAGCCAACCATCTTCTAGTGAGATTTGGAGAATGGCAGTGCAAGACAGCTACAACAACTATGAAAGTCCCAGCTACTGGACTCCCAAAAGCCCAGGACCAAGAAGTATTAATGACAAAACCTAGCAGCTGCTCTCACTGTCCAGTTTCTATACCTTTTTTTAGGTCCTAGCCATGGTCACAGTGTGATGGAATTGGGTTAAGATTCCAGCTGTGCCATCACAGAATGAGTAAAATATTTGCAAAACCAGTTACTGAACTTAATCACGCTTTGCACCATAAGGCCTGTGTCACGGTTTAAACCCAGATGGCAAATAAGCACCACACAGGCACTCGCTCACCGACCCCCCAGCCTGCTACAATGGGCAGGAGAATCAAAAGTAAAACCTGTAGGCTGAGATAAGAACAGTTTAATAATTGAAACAAAGTAAAAAAGAACAATAATAGTAAGTAATATTAATGATAATAGAAAGGATAAAAAAAAGAAGAACAAGTGATGCACAATACAGTTGCTCACCATACACTGACTGATGCCAGACCCCATCCCCAAACCCTGATCGGCCTCCCCTTCCAGTAACTCCCTAGTTTATATACTGGGCATGACATTCTGTGGTGTGGAATATTCCTTTGGCCAGTTTGGGTCACCTGTCCCAGCTATGCTCCCTCCCAGTTTTTTTTTTTCTCTTTTGTACCTCCTCGCTGGCAAAGCAGGAGACACAAAAAAATGCTTCATACAGGATAAACACAATTTAACAACAACCAAACCATCAGTTGTTATCAACATTATTCTCAAACTGAATCCAAACACGGCACTGTACCAGGTCCTGAGAAGAAAATTAATTCTATCCCAGCTGAAACCAGGACAGCTGTAAGAAGAACATAGAAAGAACATGGAGAACAAAGCACTCAGCCTTAAGAGGTTACCAACCTGGATTGCTTCTGCTAGTGGGAAACCTGACCACAGATTAAAAGATGGCGGAGAGAACTGAAAAAGGAGGTAACTAGAAAGAATTTTCCATATTGATCTCTTGTGGAACAGTTCTTTATCTACTGTGCTTGAAAAAAGCCAGTTGAGCTCCATAGCACAGCATTAGGCCCACATCCATGGTGCCCCTAGACCTAAAGAGTTTGAAGTAAGTTTGGTGTGAAATTACCTATGTTGTGAAATGGTAAGAAAACGAATGACAGGACTGATTATGTCACTGAACATCTGATTGTGAAGGAGCCTCTAAAGCAAAGTCTTCTATATTTTGCTTTGTAGATTCATCCTTGTAATAAATACATAGGTAGACATAAGTAAATAGAATTTCTACTCTAGATGCCACTCTTATAATTTTATTGAGGACTGAATACTTTCAGAACACCACACATGACTATTGTGGGAAATAAAATAGTAACTATGCAACTTAGCACTTTCCATTTTATTTAAACTGATGCAATTTGTGCACAGACAAGGTAGGTAGGCAGGTATGTAGAAAGTCACTGCAATTATCTAACATGAGGCATGTCTTAATCTTCCTCTACTGTAGGTTATTTGATTTCACAAACCATGATGTTTCTAAGTCTCTCTCTTTAGTTCTTATGCTATCTCATAAAAAAATACCTCCCATTTTTTTCTTGTAAACTTTAAAATACCCATATAATCTTTTTATTTTACACAGAGTTCTACATTTTTTCTTTCATTAAAAGAAGTGAGTCTCATAGGTTTTTTTGGTTTGGTTTGGTTTGGTTTTTTTTTAGGAAAAAAGTAAATTGCTTTGAAAAGACTGAAAATAACCTGAGTTGCATTACACCCATTTTAGGTAAATCATTGCTTTAATTCCTCAGCAGGTGGCAGCAAAAAGTTATTTCCAATGTCATATTAATTCTGTACTAAGTAATTTGTTCTTAAATTTCCAATAAAACTCCCCTACTATTAGATAATTATACCATATGAAAGAGTTAATAGGAAAAATCAGCCTGTCTGCTTATTCCAGTTCTTCAGAATCACTTCAGCTGCATCTAGTGTGCTGTCTTTCTGCAAAACAAGGAACAGTTGCACTATTACTGCAAGTATGGAGTTCTTGAAGAGAGAGGCAGTCATGATTATATCATCCCAAATCAGTATTTGGCAGTTTCACTCCTATCGTGTAAATACCGTGCCAGCCAGTTTTTCTCTAACAGTTGTTAGCTACTAATCTGGACTGCACAAAGAATTCAATGCTGATTCATTGAAAATATTTATTATCTATATTTAAAAGATAACACATTTTCTCAGCATTCATACTACCACATTTAATGAAAGCAATACTTATATAAATACCTGGCATTAATGTAGTGATGTAATTTGGCAGCTCTGTTTTGAAGACATGCTAGCTTGTCTCTGTACCTTCCTTGTTCCTATACCTCCCTAATCCCTATGTGTACAGTCGGGATTTTTTAATCTGCATACAACCATATTATGCTGTGAACCACTTAAACATAATCCCCCAAATATAGGTAATTCATCCACTGGCCAGTTGTGTAGCTTGGCTACAACCTGGTGAGTCATACAGGTTGTCCAACATGATTAGTCCAAAACGATTAGTGCTGCTCATCGCAGACAAGCCACATTTACAAGCAGCAAGTTTCATCCTGGTTGTTAGTGGCTGAGTTTATACCAAAGACTTTACACCTCATCAAAAGAACCAAGCAACACAAGGGGAAACTCCCCTTCATTACTGGTTCAGGCCAAAGCTCTGATCTTTACACAGAACAGTTAAGGATTAGCACATGTTCCATTATGCCGACTGCTACAGAACAACTGGGAAACATCTTAGGGCTTTGGATTTATCAAAGCTTACCTACCTGTCCCCAAAGTCTTTCAGTCTTTTCAAGAACAGACTCAACAGGGCAAAGAAAATGTGTAAAGGAGGTGTTCACAAAATGGCAAAAATCAGCCATATAATAAATAACAATAAGTAATAAATAATAAATAAATTTAATAAATAATAAAATCATATAAGAATCAGCCAAAAATAATTAATAAAAAGCATGTTTTCTTTTGTAATTTGGAGCTTGTGTGAAACCCTGTGTATTTTCAAGCAAGTGAGCTAAACTTGAAGGTGATCTCTTTACTGTTCTGTTGGACACTGCATGGGCATGAGACATACCACTCTGCTGTACAATTATTCTCTGCTCTGGATTATAGAAATCATGTTGATAGCTTACCTGTCTCATAAACTTTCACTGTCATCACTGGTCAAGAATGTTTTTAAAAATCAACACAGTAAGATAAAAAAATGATTACCCATCCAATTGCTTTCTGCCAGTTGCCCTTCTTAGCCATGCCACCCACCCTCATGGTATAAAGTCCCTCAGCAAAAAGACAATAGTTGAAGCTACTTTGTGCTGAATTTTACACCAAGCTAACTTTCTGTTCCTAAAAGCATTCAACTCAAGAGATCCTGGGAAAAATGTAACAGTCAGTCTTTTGCAGATTTCTGCTCTGCATTGATTTTCAGGACATAAATTTACCTTAATGAAGCAAAAACGTATATATTTTTCAAACTGTTTCTTTGTTTCAGGACCACAGAATGCTGAAAGAGGAATTGCTGACAGCTTCTGAAACACAAAACAGAAATAACATTTGCTTATTTATATGTGTGTAAAAAATTTGTTTTAAACATGATGATTTTACTATTGCATTTCTAGAACTCTCCCTCCCAACATGTGATAGAAAGACAAGGTTCAGTGTCCTATGCACAAGCTAGGTTTTTCTAAATTACTTTTCTTAGGCAAAACATTTCAAAGGTCTTTTTATTCAACAAACATTTAAGCATGCCAAAAACAAAGTGCTGGGGTGTAACACAGACCTACAAGCTACCTTTTCATCATATTTAGTAATATTTTAGTCACATAACTATCAGCAACACCAAATCATATTTCTAATGGAACATCTCTACTGCATTATTTAATGACCAAGTTGCACTGCTCTTGCTTTCAATAGAAAAGCAATTCTAAAACCAGAATATGACTCAGACATCTTACCTTAGATGCTATCATCCACCTGACAAATTTATAATCATAAGGTTGTTTCTCATCTACATCAGAGAGATCCACATCTAAAAAAACAAATTTGAAACAAATATGTTGTAAGATTTCCTAGACGCCACTTTGAAAGCATTCATTAACAGCATTTTATTATAGTTAATACTTAAGAATAAAGATATATGCTTTCATTTTAGTATATAATTTTTAAATTATAACAATTAAAATGGACCAACAGATTGAACCTTTCCATTCTGACCTGAGCACTTGCTTTCCATCCAAAGCAAATTCAGACATGTAGCTTGGAAGCAAGTCTTGCAGTACTCCAAGAAGTCTTGAAGCCTGGGTTATTGAGGGGTCAGGGCTGTGAAGGGTACTGAAGGGTGCATTTATTGCATGGACTGCAATAATCCCTGCAACTGCAGTTTTCTCATCTGTGAAACTTCAGTACATAAAACTTTTTGGCACATGGTAAAGCTGCGAGGTCCAGCTGTGTTTAAACATCTCTCTCTGAATAAAAAGTGCCACTAAGACCAGTTAGGGAAAAATGTAGAATTAGAAAATGTTCCCCTGTGGGAATTCTTCCTCCAAAGTTACCACAACTTGAATTTCCAAAAGGTTTTGTAAATTTTGGTAGCCTTTTACACTTTAGAAATCAGAATGTCTCAAAGAGCCTTCAGGGTATGACTTCAGATTAAGAAAAACAAAGAAACAAACAAAAAAAGACCAGAAAGAGGGAGGTACAAGTGGTGTGAACTGAGGATACTAAGCCAGGTGCTTGGCTCTCAAACATATTCATAATCGTATACATTTTGAAAATAGAAATGTTTATCCACCTCCTTTATCCTCTCTAAAAACTTGGCAAAGTTTTGCAAAACACCAGCAGTAGTTAGGATCATAAAGGCTTTGCTGAAGCTCATAAAATCTACCTCACACGCTAAGGTCAAACAGAAAATTTCAGTCCCAGTGAGTACTTCTGACAATGTTACGCAAACATGAAATGAGTTTATAAAAAATGAAAATGAAAAATGAAAAAAAGGTTAAAATGAAAGTTGCATTTTCAGATTAACTATAGTTACTTTCCACACCCTTTTTAATAAACTTTATACTAACTTAATGTGGAAACATCAACAATCATGAAGTATCCTCCATCTGGAACGACAGGCTTTAGTCCAGCTTCTTTAAGTAGCCGAGCCATCCGATCCCGTTTGCTTTCCAGCTCTCGAGACAGTGAGTAAAAATAGCAGTCTGGGTCATCCATGCGCTTATAGTCTATCCAAAATGCCTGTGCCAAAGCCTCCTGGAAACATAATCAATGTTCAAAGTACTCATGAACACTCAGTAAACTCACAGACACTCACTTCCTACTGAAATCACGTGGATTTTTATTCAATCCTGGCCCTCATTAAGCAAATCAGCACACAAATTACACAAGCTACATCCAAGTCTGTAATTTGCTTGTTATTTTGTGCTGTGGCAACACCCAAAGCACCCAATCTTTTGCTAGGCACTAATCATGTATGGAAGACACAGTCTTTGACACAAGGGTTTACCATCTGAATTGAAGCTACATTTAAATCATTGATAATAATGCACCATGAAATACTAGAAACTAGTAGACAGAGATAATGCTCAGTAAAATAAGACCTTGTTGTAACAATTTTTATTTGTATTTGGTAGGAAACCACTAAGATTGTCAGTTTTATGCAAGGAGTTGTTTGCAGATGAAAAAAGAAAGAAACTGCAAGACTGCTTCTTTTTCAAATGTCTGGTGAGCCGATCAAATTTAGTTCCTCTTCTTACATTCCCATATACATATTTTGACAACTAAAGATTCATCATTGTGATTACTGTTTTATTGCAGTGAGGCCAACAGCTTTCCTACACCAGAAAACAACCTGCTCTGCCCCATCAATACGTACCTGTAATGGAGTTGGGCAAGTGTACAGTGTATTTTGGTGAACAACTTGCAAATGCTTAATCAGGTTTTCGGGGCCAATGGACCAACCAAGCTAAGGGAGGAAAGCAGGCATAATCAAATTAACAAATAATGAAAATTAGCCAATGTCTCAAGTTTTTCATTTTAAGCAAAATATTTTACAGAAATATGAGCCATTCCAAAACACACCATATTAGCACAAAACTGGGAAACTGAAATATCATAATATCCAAGAATCCAAGAATCTTGACTGGTTCTGAACAAATCATATTGTAGTGGAGTTTTAAGGGGTTTTTTCCTCATAAGAGCTTATCAATTGAGAGACAAGAAAATAATTACACTATGGGTGTTAAAGACAGGTAATTGCTCCAACTGAATGATACTCTCCTGTTTTCGAGACATGGAGATTTGCCAGAAGCTTCCAAAACACAAGTCATAAAAACAGAGGCTTTTTTAGTATAATAAACGCATTCTGTCATTTATACAACTGAAGTCTTTTATATTGAGCCTTCTTACCTTCCAGCCAGTTACACTGTATGTTTTCCCAGCACTTCCTATAGTTACTGTTCTTTCCCACATCCCTGGCAATGTAGCTGTATATAAAACAAAATTAATTGGGTACAGGTGAACTCATACATCCCATGTAGTCTGAAGGACTGCACTGCCCCTAGCTCAGAGCTGTATGTTCATTCATCATTGCAGCATCTTAAGCAAGCAATGAGAATATTCTAAAATTACAGCAATTGTAACTAATGAGAAAGGATATATGGACCAATGCTTTTTAGCATGAAAAGGAGGTAAGGATTAATGGAAGGAGATAAAAGAGGCAGAAAATAAGAGGCACGGTTTTAAAACTACATGTTAGTTCTCCTCAGCAAAAATGCATAATTATCCATAAGAAAGATGTGATCTAAGGAGTGACTACCCATTTACCTGAGGAGAGCAATATTTCTGATGCCTGACAACAGCAAAACATTAAATACACAACATTAACTCAGGCATTGCAACTCACTTTAATAGAATTGTCCAGTTCAGTGTCACTGGCTGTCTTAGACATCAGAAAAAGAAAATAACTACTAAGACTTCTAACCCAGAACCAAACAGCTGAACATCAGAAAACCAGCAGAGTGAGTAAATAAACTATGCTGTGTTATGTAATTTGAACAGGCTTGGAACTGACTGACAGCAGCAGTTAGCTAAAAATGGATTAAGAGAGTCATGGAGGCTTGTCTCTGTCTCTGCAGCTGTATCTGATAGGAGACCAAAATCCTTTGTTTCCTTTCCAAGGAGATGACACAGTAAAGGTCTCTTCCTGTAATTTGCCATTTTTGTTCTGTAAAATGCTTCCGGGAAGCTCTATTTGGACTCTTTAATTTAATTAATTTGCAACAGAAACAGATAAATCAAGACACACTTAAGTCTGAGACGCGAAATTGGACTTTGTGTTAGGCAAGGTTGCAATTGCAGTGGTCACCAACATCCATCTTCACCTCGTTTGTATACTAGAACCAGTACCAGTGAATCTGTCAATTGTTAAATCCCTTCTTCAGGGAGACCAAGGAATGAAATTTTCCAAATTAAAGCACTGTATTTCACACAGAAGTTTTTGCAGCAGTTATTTGCATTAAACATGGTAAAGTCTCTGCAGTTATTGGAAAACATGCACTGGAAATTTTTGAGCAAAGTTGCCAAGAAGAAAAACCAAACAGCATAAAAAAACCTTGACATCCCTATTAGCCCACCCATATTGATTTAACTGCTCTGTGACCCTGAGAACAAAAAGGCAATTTGAAGAGATGCATCTTCCAGCTAGCTCGACCAAGAGCACAGATCACTTCCTAAAGGCACCCAAACTAGCTCTCACAGGCCACAAAAATAATTGGCTTTCAAAACCAATGGCCTCTAGTGAGACTGTTTTACCACACAGTCATAGATATTCAGCCTTGGAGACAGAATGTAACAGCATTTCAAACAACAGCAGCAACACAAGGGCACAGGGAAAGAAGCTTTTACAAGTTTTAAATAGAGAGGGGAATTTCTCTATGCCATGTGGTAACTATATAGGACATCATATACACTACAACCAAGTCTGACCACAATTTAAAAGCTAATAAAGTGCAAAACTAACACATATAATAAGCCTGTTACCTGGGATGGCACTCAGCTTGTTCAGAGCCTTGTTCAGAATCCTCAGTTATGAGATGCAATCTCTAAATCTGCCAGTGCAACCCTAATCATTATTCAGAGTCAGATGATGAGAAACAGGATGAAGTGCTCTATGCTACAGAAAACTGCTTCAGTGACAGCACAAAGACTGTATTAATTTTATGATCTGTGGCTATCAACCCCTGTTAAATTGTATTAAGGAACCACCATTAGAACATGTAAATTAATGCAATATCCATTTTGTATCTCCCACAAAAAAAGTGTCACTGCACTGAATGGAATATGTAGAGGTCAATATGGAAACACATGAGTTTATGAACAGTGAAATAACACACTCATTTTTATTGTATTATTTTTTGTAGACTTGAAAGAAATAAGAAATGTAATCAAGTTAAGTTAAAAAAGAGCAAATCTTATTTGTTTTACTGGAATAATGTTATTGTTTACAGTTACCCTGAAAGTTTTATACTACTTTTAACACTAAAGTTGAAGATGATATCATGGGATCTGTTAGAGAATATGCATCTAAACCTAGTTGACCAACTTCCCAGGCTTTAACTTGCATTTTCATTACACAGTATTTTTATATTTTATGCTGACTACAGAATGCCTTTTGTTCATCTGGAACATGTTCTGGTTTTGAAGCATTAGATGACAATACTGATGCCAATGACAATGGAGTTACTGCCTCTTAAGAATTTGTCACCTGTCCACAAAGACAAAGTGTGACTGACAACATGAGTGTTTGGACCTGCTGCTTTTGCAAAGCAAAATGGATTACCTTACACCACCCACAGTGATTTTGGTTCTGAGGATGGCTATTTGCTTTAAATACCTGCTAAGCCCATGAAGAAAGCTTTAATTTAAGTGATTTTACTTTGCAATTGGGACACAAGATCAGTTACTGTGTTAACTTGATAGGGTGCAGTGACTCAGATTACTATCACGTGAATGTACCCAAAATGTTCCACTTTTCCATGTCTTCCCATGCTTTTGAGAAGGTATCACTACTAAGGCAGCCACAACAGCCATGGAATTAGGTCACTCTCAAAATAGACTCATAACCTATGCATGGCCAATACAATCAATGTACTGTCAGCAACTGTAAGGCTGAGCTAATAAGTATTGCAAGGTCATTTATATAAAATTTCCTCTTTATTATTTGTAAGATTCGGTTTAACAAGGATTTAGCCCCCATTAATTGAAAGGTTTTTTATTGCCACTCTACAAATATGGAATTGAAACAGAAGCAAAGTTATTCAGCATTCAACCAGTGGCAAAGCCAGGAAAAAAGCTAAGCTTTTTCTTGTCTAATTTATATTTATGTGTCTTGATTTCACTGTTTATTCTCAACTAGATGCCCCTACTGCACATGACTGAAATGTGCCTTCATTACGACAGTAACTGTCTTAACAGACAGTGTCATGCAAGATGCCACCATCAGAAACAAAACATCTGTACAGATAAGAAGCTTTGGACTTCAGCCAGCTCAAATACATCAGGAGAGCCAAACTAAGACCACTACACTAGAAACTCTTACATAAATGCTTAGCTGTAGCATTATGGACCTGGGGAAGGAGTTCAGTACCCTGCACTAGATTAAATTTTCTGAGACAGTGGGAGCGATTCCACCAGCTTCAGTAAAACTGGGATCAAGAAGCAAAACAAGAGGGACAGGGATATTACACCATGTTTGTTTTTCTGGTTTATTCTTGCAATAGCGCTTCACCTCTCTAGCAACACTGCCTGAAAACTTTAACATGCTTTCACAGTGCACCTGCAGTGACTTAGTTCACTGAATCCAGTGTCCATTATTTAACACTGTCTCTGCACTTTGGAGGGACACTGCTCGTGCACTATCTCCGTGCTTTTATACTTCTTTTTAACTTTTATAATTAGTGGAGTAAAAGTTATTGTGTACCTCATTATCCATTGCCCTCACTGATTATCTCTACCATACTTTGAGAAGGAAGTTCTACTCCCTGTTCCTTCCTTTAGTTCTTTGGCAAAGCACAGTCCAATACACGTGCAGTAACAGAAGCTATACTTGTCATGGCCCACAATAACAAGGATGGGATATTCATATGATCATAACTGACTTATAAGCATCAGTCCCACTGGTTTCTATGCATATCTGCTCCAAAGTCACTTTAGAGCTTTGTAAATTCTATTTGGAAATTATTCTTTAAAATACTTTTTCAGAAAAGGGAGGGGCTCTCCTCCTTAGACTCTAAATATTGCAAAATAGTCAAAGCTTGACGTTTGAGCTCCTTCCAGCAAGCATTATCTCTGAGAGGCAAGTTTACAGCATCATTCCACAACCAATTTTAAGATAGTACAAAAAATCAGTACCTATTTTAATGTGCTTATTCCCTTTATACACCAGCCATTCATACACCTCATCACTGATGCACAGGGTATCATGTTTAATGCAGAGATCAGCTATTACTTGGAGCTCTTCTTGGGTAAACACCTGGGATACAAAAAAGTAGGGGACAACGCATTAATTATAGTATTTAAGGCATTCTTTGAAATTACAGCAGTGTTAAAGCAGGACTCTTACCTTGCCTATAGGGTTGTGTGGGGTATTCAGAATAATTGCTTTTGTTTTGGAATTAAATTTATTTGCAAGTTCAGCAGGATCCAAGACCCAATCAGCACTAGATGCAGAGATTCCATTATTTTTCTAAAAACCAAAACAAACAATAAATTTATACATTACTTGAATACAACAGCCTAAAGAGAGATACCTAACTTATCACCCTCAGGCACTTTCATAACCACACTTGACAACCTATCCACTCTGTTCTGCACTCCTGGGAGAAGGCAGCAGTTCTAGGGACAGGCAGGGAGGCCTAAGAGCAAGGTAAATCATTGTGACAGTGGCTGTCCTCTCCTGGCCGATGTCTGTCTTAAAGCCTCTGCAGGAATTGGTTTCCAGGATGTTGTTGTACACATGCTGATCATTACAGTGTGTAATGCAGAAAGCCCAGTCACATGGCAGGAGCATTTACAGCCCTGCCAAATACTAGAGCACGTGTGTGCATGCTTGACTGGGAGCGTCACCACTGAAGGGACTCAAGGTCTTTTCCTCCTCTTTGAACATATGAAGAGTTAAAAAGAGTTAAAAATATGCACCACTGAGGCTCTGGATTTATACACTACACAATACAAATGTCCCTGTGGTATTACACATGGATAACAGAAGTTTGGGCCAGTTGTTATGGAGAACATGGAGCATGGCCACACTAACTTTCTGACACCTACATGACTGGGAGAGAGTCAGACCAAAAACAGGGAGTAAAACAGAAAATATCTGGAGGAACCCTGTCATTTGAGACATCCCTAGAAGGAGGGCATCCAGAGGAACAGTCTCACCTACTCCCACTGCAGCTGTGGAGGTTCTGTCCCTCTGTGTTGTTCTGATTTCAAGGAGTTCATTTCATAGTCCTGCCTAAACAGCCCCTCAGCCCTTCCCACACAAAGCTGCCAGTTGCACAAGGCAATGGTAACAGGATCAACACTTTGCATCCAGAACAACCCTTGCAAGCTGCCACCATAATGCCAGCAGTACCAGTCTGACAATTAACCCGTAGCAAAATCAGTCCTTTTTAACAATGAACCAAACAGTAATTCTTGTATTATAGCAAATACGTCTACTGCATGATCAGTCCTTATTTAGCAAGCAGATTTTGGAAAAGAAATTGTATTCTATCATTGTAGGAGTTGCTGAAGGGACCAGAAACCAAACCTTTTGAAAACTAACAGATACAGAAATGGCACTGGTATGAAATCCCCCTTCCACTCTTTGCACTGAAAACTGAAAAAAGCAATTTTAATCAGCTTTCAGAATGCACAAACTAAAGAAAATGAGAAACACTTCTCTAACACTAACAAAATATTCTATCTGCTTTGGATTATCATTGTCTCAGACTTGCACTACAGCAATCCATCTCATTTTTATGTAATTGGATGTTATGAAAAACTATACAGAAAAGCATCACATAGAAGGTGTTCATCAAACTGTATTGAGTACAGATGAGAAACTTCATATGATAAATAATTTTTAAAAAGCTACTCACACATCTCAGTGGGATAAAAACAGGCTTTGCACCCGCCATCCTTACCATTGGCTCATAACAGTCATAAAATGGCTCTATTATTATTACCTGAAATGACAACAGTCAGTATCAGAAACAGAGAATTTACCAAGGCAAAGATGCAAAAATGGGAGACAGCAACAGCAAACTGTTGAACCACAGAACAGCTGCCCTAATTCTGTCCATAAAATGCCAAGATTTCCAGGTATCTAGAAATCTCGGAGGAACAGCTCCGATTTTATCAAAAGAAAATTTTCAGATGGAAAAAGGACAAATTCAAGAAAAACTGCTTCGATGTTACATATAGGAAAACAAATCAAACAAAAAACTCACCAAAAGCAAAGGCTAATAGAACTACCACAAACAAAAAAGAAATTACTATCAGAGCAAAGAAGAGAAAGATACAGATGAGAATACAATATACAAGCAAAACAAACAAAATACTGAAAGCAAAATGCGTGACAACACAAAAATGTTTTGTATACTATGTATAGAAATATTCCCGTAAAATGACTTCCAGTATCGTGTCAAAAAGGCAGACATCAGTCATGATGAAGGGATGACTCATCACAGCTAGTACAGTAAACTAACAATCCTTTCTTTGAAGGACTTTTCTGCTTTCCTGCTACCTATGCTGCTACCATGCAATGGTCCAAACCAGAATGTGGTACATAAAGTTTATTCAAACATCAACAGTTCTTTGCACCACCCTTAGTCCTCTGTTGCAGCAACCAAGCCCATGTGCTTTCTCAAGTAAGAAATCAGTGTGTACTGTGTCCCCTAACAGGAACAGTGATAAAGAAACTGCTACAGGTACCATAAGTATGAAAGAAAGGTGTTTGTAAGTTGGTGAATGATAGGTAGACATCCAAAAGATAGGCTCCTAATCACAGCTTCTGAAACCATAAGTCAGATGCACAATTGCAACAAATCAAACTAATGGAGATAGAAAGAAGCCCCAACATTAACTTATAATTAAAAGTGGACAAATGAGAAAACAGGAAAATTCTCATTTCTGCAAGTATACGTGAATATTTCCAATAAAAACTTACCTCATCTCCCTCTTCAATTAATGCCTGTATTGTACTAAAGAGAGATCCATAAGCTCCCACGGTCACCAGGATATCTGTGAGAGGATCAATCTTTCTTCCACAAACTCTCTCGTACACCTGGGACAAGGCTTTCACCAGTGATGGATGTCCCTGTTCAAAGCAAACAAATGTAACTGATTGGTGTGTTCCAACAATGTACAAAGCCTGTGTTTGGGGTTTTCCACATATATCAAAATAGTACATTTTGAAATAGAAAAATATGACATGAGCCCTCAGTGTTAAGGGCTGTTAACAGGTAGCATGTTAAACTTTTTGCACATTAGGAAAGAGTGGTTTCAATTTATTTGTATCTACTAGGAAATTATTTTTCCATCTGGTGCTTTTTAATTTCTTATTATCTTATAATCTTATTATCACAACTCAGAGTAGCTCCAGTTAGCCCATACCAGAGCTAGGAGAAGAGTCAGGAGGAGAGAAGGGAATACTCTGCCATCAGTTCACCCTCACCTCCTTTTGAGTCTCTTTCAGCTCCCTCTGTTTTCTTCCTTATCTTTCAACTAAAAAGTCTTTGGTGCAAGGGAAATATCTTTATTCTGTTTATATACTGCTAATAAGCAGCACTTGTAATCAGAATGATGATTCATACAGTCACATCCCAAATCTCAGAGCACTATTCACCATTTGTGTCCCCTCCAGGGACACGTCAGTTCACACACTCTTCTCAAAATGTGCAAAGAGCAAGAAAATAAACATGCAACAAAGATCATATACAACATGGAAATAAGAAGGCACAACTTAGTTTACTCAGGAAAACTGCAGAATTCCTGCTGTAAAAATCTTTTTTCTTCTGGGATACTTAGTAGAAATAGAAAACAGCTCCTTGAGAAAATGAAACTACGTAACAAAAATCCTCCAAAATACTGAACATTATACCTCTGTAGACAAGGCATTAAATCTTCTGTAAACATTAACCCTTCTGTAAACAAAAACATTACCATAAATTAGGCTTACAAGTCATTGCTGATTCAAGTGATAGCCATTTCTTGCCGTGTCATGGCAAGACAGGAATGCTACAGCACCCAAGCCACATTAGGCCCTAGCCCTACAGTCAGTGAGAGCTCAGTTATCAGATGGATGGAGATCATTCATTCTCATCCTTCTCACCTCTGCCACAGACACTTGTGCTCAAAAACCTCAGAAGTGCAGAAGTTTGCAGAGGAAGCACAAAGGTTGAAGATGGGAATATTGGTAAAAATTCCTCTTTAATTACTATTTATAGGATAATATATTTTCCAACATTCATAATTATCCTGGGAATTATCAAACCATTTGGATATAAATAACAAAGTGACAAAAGTAAATAATGAATAATCACATGCATTAGGAAATTATGTTTGTTTTGCAAATAGTTTTAGAGAATCAGCTTGTGAATCTTTGTCAGAAGGCAGACTTGGCCTGGTTTCAACTGGGATAGAGTTAATTCTCTTCTTAGTAGCTGGTAAAGTGTGCTACAGTACAGCAGGTGGACAGGATTGCAGGCCCTGCTCTCTATAACATTTTCCCCTGTGCCATGGCTCCTCCAAAACCTTGTCTGCCTGGCGAGCAAAGACTTTTCAGGTACCTTATTGTGGGTGATGAACATACTTCATGATAACATAATGCTTAGCCCAGAAGTTCACTTAATTCCAAACATCTGTTTTGTGTATCTGACATAAAATAATTGCATTATACCTTAAAGCCTATTTAGAGATTTTTTTTTTAATTATGTGTGTTTATGCATATAAATACATATATGTGTATCTTGTTCTTGCTGACACTTGATACATAGCTAATGGTGATTACACAAAATGACCCAAAGAGGGGTGGAATGAGCTTACAATCACTGCAGAATTATTTCCCTTCTGTTCTTGCCAGGGCTGCAAGTGCCCTAATAAGACTTAGTGGCTCTGACCAGCCTCACTTGGGGGCTCTACCCAGAGGAGTGCCCCAGGTGCAGGGGCTCTATTTAACTGCTGTGCAGTAGTTGCTGTGTTGCAGTTCAGATACAGCTACACTGTGCTTGGCCACAGACCCTGCGGAACTTGGCCCCGGCTGATTTTGTGGCTTGAGCTGCTCTGTCACCCTGGACCTGCCCAGTGATCACTGGGTTATGTCTATCCATGGTTAGCATTGCTGGATTGAATTCCTGGCTTGCTCTCAGGTCCACCTCACCACAACAAGCTTGCCTGCTGACCTGGGCTGACCTCAGCCACCATCCCTGGGCCTGCCTTTCTCAGGTACTGTGGGACTGGGCCCTGGCTGGTGAGACCTCTGCCCTGCTCACTGTGATAACTTGTCCTTCAGGGAACTGCTGGCCACTGCTGCTCCCCCTCAGCTCCTTAGAGAATAGTCAAAAAGTTATCTTGGAATACGTACTCAGTGATGCCATGACTACCAACACAATTTCTAGCCTACCAGTCTATGCAATGCTTTTATATCACTGTTCCATAACAGGGTCATCTAGAGAAATATTAGATAGATGCCTTAGGATCTTGTAGCAATCCTGACACACGATTCTCAGTTGGGCAATATAGTCTACCTTTACCACAAAATTAAAGATAGGCAAACCAAACAAGGAAGTGGTCATAATAAAACAGTAATAGTCACTGGAATATCCTGCCCTGGACAATGATAAATGCCAAACACTCAGACCCAGCAAAAGACAAACTCTACAAGCCGACTTCCAGAATGGGTTGTGACTATCTTCCAGAGGGCAAAAACGTATTCTTTTCATCCCTTCGTAGTCTCCAGTGAAATCTACTAAATGCTATGGGTGAACCTTTTCATCGTAGAGGCTCTGTCTCAAGTGGTAGTTTCTCATTCTACCATTATACCGTCTGATTTATGTTTACACAGAAGTAAATATAAAATGTATAATCTACACTCTTTAAACTGTGAATTCACTCTTCAGAGACTGTCTGTCCCAGATGTGCTCTACCATTTTGCTCTAGCTGAGGGATTTGCCTTGAAGGAGCCTACCCACAGGAAGTTCATTAGTAACAGATAAGGCTACAGGATCAATTTAATTTGGGACATAACAGTGTGATCTACAGATAAAAATCAACTTAAAGCAAAGTCAGTGTTTTCCTCTGTGGCACATTCTCCACTGAACTTGGGTTCTTAAGTTCCACAATACTTACAAAGCCTCGTGTGTACTGGTTCAATCTGTCAACTGCTGCTGCCTTTGCCAGCTCTTCTTTAACATAGCTGGGAGGGGATATATCAGGAAGGCCTTGACCAAGATTAACAATAGAGGGATCCGCTGCCACTTTTGTAAACTCAACCCTAAAGCGAAAAACATCTTAAAGTTAACACAACAAATAAAATCATCCTTTCATTTGTTAAGATTAAGAGGCAAAAAAAAGTATTTCACTTGGACAAATTCACAGCAGTGGCAACGGGTTTAAAGTAGAGTGTTCACATGGAGAACTGAGGGCTGGGACAATGGTAAGTAACCACAGGGGTCACAGGGCACTCAAGAAAACGTTTGACTTTCTCCATCCACAGAATAACTTTTCTGCCAGCAGAACTGTGCTCAGATGTGCAAATGCATTCAGTGATTTCAAGGATAAATTCTGTCAAGTGAAGGTGTCATTTAAACTACCCAGTCACCTCTGACTGCTATAATTTTTTTTTTTTTTTATTTTAGGCAACAGGTTGGTTTAGAGTGCTCATTAACTGTTCCTAGTAGCCTGCCAGATATGAATGTTAGGATTCTTGAACAGTTTTTCCTTCCTCCCTTCACAGGTCAGCTTTACATTTTACTCTTTCCTCCCTACCAAAATGTTAACTAGGATTTAAAAAAAAAAAACAAAACTAAACTAAAAGCCCTCCACATAGCATTACAGTTCTGTCAAAAATGAAAACACATTGCTAAAAATTAGCTTGAGGCTGAATGATCAAGACACCTTGTGTATATGTGCACATATACATATATACATACTACTGATGTAAGCCCATAATAGTGTTTTCATCACCTAAGAAATGCCATATTTATTAGTGATGGCAATATTGCTTTAAGACCAATTTAATACCTAGAAACACAAGTATTAAAAATATTGAACTAAAATATAAAGACAAGCATAAAGGCTTTAGAAAGAAATCTGACATATTTGGTAAACACAAATCAAGTATAATGGAAATACATTACTCAAAAGAATTAACAATTAAATTTGAAAGTCAGCTAAACTACCATGCCAAAGAGTTATACTTGTCTCATGTGGTTCACTAGATGAAGAGAAGTCTAAGCTTAATATTTAAAGCTCAAAAGTAACAATTAATCACACCTTTAACTGAATTTCATTCACCGCTTCTAAACAGGTACCACATTTATTCCAGCAGAGATAGCAACTGCCATGTACCTTATTATCAGTTTGGAAAGGAAATACATCAACCAAAGACATTTTCTGAAATTTGCAGATATTTTCCTTTTACTTACCACACATTGCTATCAAGGCCTTCAATTCGCCTTGTGTTTTTGTGTCTGAAGGCCATTGTCTGCAAGATCAAAATGTAGAGACAGAAGGGTTTTGTTAAGAAAGACAAAGTAAGATATTGTTGGATTCTGCATGACAAACCCTCCTTCATGCCTTCTCAGATATACCACTGCTAGCTGAATTCAGTAGTTACACAAAATTATAGACATGTTCTTTCATTAAAGCTTCCATAATAGCTTGAATTCAGACTAACAAGAAAACACATGAAAATGTCCTAAATTCTCATTCATCGTTATCTAAAGCCACTAAACTTTTGGCAAGGATGGAAGAGGGGCATAATTTAGCTCATGAGCTTTAATAGATGTCCTAAAAAGAAAGAATACCGTATATACTTTATTTTTCTTTTCCATGATATGCTAAAAACTTAGAGACTGCTATTTCTAGCCCAATTCCTGCTCAGTCCAGTTTGGAAAGTAAGCATTTGCAATGCAATTTTATTTGATAAATTGATGGTTAAGAGGAAAGGAGCAAAGACATTTCCTATTTTCATTCAGATTTTTAAAACTTTAAAGTATCTACATAGAGCACTAAAAACCCACAACAGAACATGTTTTTGCTGTATATTCAGACCTTAAATTAAGGTATTGGAAAACTCCTGTAGAATAGACTTTCAATGACTACTGTATACAGAGGCAGAGAAAAACCTACTGATAGCTGTGATATTTTTAAGGTAAAAAGAGAAAAGAAATTTAGGAAAAAGAAAACCAGATTTATTTCTATGGGCAAACAAAAAAAGTGCAAGCTCATATCTGTTTTTGTAAACCTGCTTGATACAGGGAAAAAATTGCATAGGAATTACATAGTCCCTCAGTACCTCAGACACTCCTGTTTCTCCGAGTCAAACAACAGAGTTTTAGTGACTTTTACCACTACCAGCTATTGTTACTGTCTGAAAGATTCAAAAACCATATTCTAGCCACTATGCTCTGAGAAGAAAATGTCAGCATTACCGTTATATTCCAAGTTTCAACTTTGAATCAATGGAAATGACTCACAGTGGAAACATTATGCAGCAGGTACACCTGTGTACTCAAGCTGTTTGTAGTAATGAATGCACCATATACATTGTGATTTGAAGAATGGGAAGCTATAAAACTACACAGATACTTTTCTGCTCGTGTCTTCTCTACAGATCTGATTCTGACCTCATCAATACAACATGAACATCAGAGGAATCCAACATAGGACACCTTTTATTGGTCCTCACGAAGAAAATTGTAAAGATAACTAGACAGGTGAAGTCATATTTCTTAACACAGAACAAAAGGGAGTTAAGAGAGAATTCTGACTAGGTAATCTATATTGTGTGTATTTAAAAACACACATATGGTTTAGAAGATTGACCCGATTTTATGGTGTATGTTTTGTTAAATATGACTAATGTTTGGCTGTACTTCAAAAATACAAATAACACTGGTACTACTTAGACTCAGTCACATACACATCTTTGTTTTTTACATAACACAAAATTAGTGCATCTCTAAAGTACTGCATGAAATAGTTTTCTCTATGAAGGTGAAGGAATACTTACTGCAGAGGCTGAATGTTTGATGGATCTGGAAAGCAAATCTGTTCGTAGCTGATATGTTCTAATGCCACGGCAACAGAAGCTTCGTGAAGCAAAAAACATCTCTGCATAATAAATAAGTGACCTGAAAAACCTTACAGATTCTAGGAATGAGCTTCTACACATCACTAAGCAATTTTAAAAGATAAGAGCCCCTCCGCTTCCCTCCAGCGATTTTGTTTCAATTAAGTAAACTCCAGTAAATTATTACCTTGCCACAGTTGTAACCACAGAGAATGAAACTTTCTAACTGACAGGGCTGCAAAATGTTTCTGAATGTCACCTCAAAGGAAGGTTTCTTTTATTTGACAGCACTCATCTTCTTTTCTTTGAATAATAATTAAGACTAAATGCAGTTCAAGCTTCAAAGTCTCTGTTAGAATTGTTGTGAAAACCTGTTTGTGTAATAAAAATTGCTATTACAGTTGCCAATATAGACAGAATAGAAAATGGGCCTAATTTCTAAAAAGTTAACACATCTTTAAAACTGGTCTCCATTTCCAGGTGTTTCAAATCAGGTATGCTGAAACCATGATCATTAAGATCACCAGTGACACTAGAGATGCAGGCCTACACACTTTATGTAGCTATACCGAGTTCTGCTACAGTGACTTGGCAAATTTTTCCATGGCAGAAAAGAGAGAGTTTGAAAAGTGGTTCTGTGTGGAGTGACAGATCATTCACTGACTAGAGAAAATATGTCCTGTTAATCAGTAACTATAAAGAAAGAAGTAAGAGCTGGAACTTCAAGCAACTACTTCCAGAATATATTTTTAAATATATATAAATATATAAATTTAAATAATATATAAATATTTATATATATTATATAAATATATTAAATAATATATAAATATTTATATATTATATAAAATATTTATATATTTTATATAATTATATCTATTATATAATATATTTTATATATTTATATATTATATATAAATACATAAATATAAATATATACATTGTCAAAATGACTGGAATATGTTAGAGAGAAGCATGTAACCCATAGATCTATGTCAGAAACACAGTAGCCACAGCAGTATAATTATTAACTTTGTTTTCCATAGTTTACTCATCATAGGATAACTCCCCCTCTGCCCAGACTTTCCTCCCTGAAAAGAGGAAGAGAACTAAAAAAAGTGTTATTTACACTTACAAATAGAAAAGGCCAACCAACACTGCTTTTAAGGATGCCTCATGAAATGATTTAAGCTTTAAAAGTATGCTGGTTTTGTCTTTGTCTTGTTCCAATGCTTCTAACTCAGTCTCAATTCTGAAATTAGGGTCTTTCTCACACAATACTGAGTTGTAGCTAACCCAATCAGGCCTTCAAAATACCTATGTAATCCCATTGCATTTAGCAATCTGCAAGTAATCAACTGAAGTTCCTTTACAAGAAGAAACTCTGCTGGCCTGAAGACTAGCAAAGTCAAACAGCAACTAAATCTTTGACACTAGTCTGCAAATACTCTGAAAGACGAAAAAGAAATATATCTGCTTTAAAAAGACCTGTAAATCCATTTTAAGTTACTTCTAATAACACCACTTAGCATATTCGCCATAATCTTTGCGAAATCAAATCTTTGTGAATCTTGTGAAATCAAAAAGATTGTGAAGGTCTCTATTCCTCTCACTGTGTAACGTTACCAAAACTACTTGTGTAACATACCAATACTAACTTAAAACATGACGGTGATAATGGTGCAATTCCCCAGGGTGGGACCACAGGCAGCATTACTCTTTCAGCTGCAATTGCTTGCAGTAGTTAGTTAGCACTGAGGGACAAACATGCATCTCTTTGCCTGTTTCATTTCGTATTGAGAAATAGAAAAATTAAATAAAAAACTTGCAAGCCTCACATGCAAAACTACCTTGCAAGTTTTGTTGGAAAAATTATTAACAGGTGTAAATATTTCCAGCATTAGTGCCAGGCTGCACTGAAAGGCTGTGTGGTATTTGTGAACCATTATTCAACACGAGGCAATCATGCAAAACCACAAGATTGCATGAGTTGCAGCAGACCTGTGTGGCGTGGCCAATCTCTGCAAGTACCTAAAATACCTGAAGGGAAAAACTATATCCACCTTTAACACCACAGAAATGTAGGAACTGTGAAAACTTTATGAGAAACATAGTGGAAACAATACTTTGCTGAGCAGTCTCAGTAAGAAAAGGCACTAGCATGTAACATTTCTCCCACTGCGTTTCAATCTTCGTGACACTTTTCCAGGGAATGCTGAACAGCATTTGTTCAGACTCAAGAGTACTCAGAGACAACTACTAGCATTAAATGAAAAAGCCTCATCTAAAATACTTTTATGACTTTTTATTTCTAAAAGTACCTCTTCCCCCATCTGCAACTGAATACTTCCACTTAAGCTACTCTAGGAAGTAAAGGGAAAGGCCTCCTTAATATAACCAGATACTGTCCCACACTGATCTCAAAAAAAAAAAAAAAAAAAAACAGAAAAAAAAAAAAAGAAAACAAGGTCTATTCTTTTTGCCCCTAAACACACACATTCCCACTATAATTGTATATGACATATTAAAACCTATCATAGGCTCAAAAGAATTATTTACTGGTACTTTTATGATGAGTGCACTCTTAAATATTACTACTGTATGTGTAAGACACATAAATGAGATGGTTTATAATGTCCTAAGATAAGTTTTTCTCATCAAGATGCAATGTTTGTTCCAGCTCAGGAAAGTTACACAGGCAGCTACAGAAGTAATGCAAACCCTATTTCAACTCTCTTCAAAATTGATAAGAAAATTCCAACACAGAAAATGCACTGATCTTTGTGGCGGAATGAAAAGGTATTTTCCTTTCTTAATCCTATTAATGTTTCTTTCTTCAATCTTGGAGTCAGACACCAGTATTCTGGCCAAGACCTGTATCTGTTAAACTCAGAAACTAACACTAAGGAATACTTTTCCTCCCATTCTAATTTTCAGTGCTCTGAAGTATTCATGCTCTAAGTCAGCATACCTGGAATTCAGGCTTACATACCCATAGAGAAAACCGGAAAATTAACACATTAGGGTACAAGGGATAATAAATTACTGCTCCTGTAGCTTTCTATATTTTTAGGGGAGTGAGAAGCAAGGAAGGCTATCAGAAAGGTCAGTGCAGTAAATGTTTTTTAGTGGGACTGGGAAGAAGACATATTCTGGTTGCTAACCTGGTTTAAGCTCAGGTTTGGTGATTTGAACTAGACTAGAAGTTACAGTTAGACTTTGTCATGGAAAGTATATGAATGCATCCGTGTACTAACAATCATTTAGCTCATGCCGTGCTTTATAACTGCTCCAGCACAGATATAACTCTGAGTTGCAGGCTCTTATGCTCCCTTCACAGCTGCCCAACCTCCTGGTCATACAGTACCTGACCTCAGATGCTACTGAACCACCAGAGCATTTTATGGAAAGTTTTAATTTTGTAGTTATTCAATTTTTCTCCTTTGAAACTAAAGGCCAAATGCTGCTGATTTTGAGCTTCAATTATACCATGTCTATAAAAACCACATCATAGAGCTTGAATGAATTCTGGTCAAACCCCTTAAACTGATGCATTTTTTCAAATAACAATAATCTAATTTTACTGTGCAGTTTCAGTGACAAACACTACTAGAAACACTGAAAGCCTGTCAGCCACCACAAGAATGTCATAATGTAAATATAATCCCTATTATATTTGTGTTGTGCTAAATATTGGTGGGATATGCAAACCTGGAAAATGTTACATCTCAGCCGAAGGCTGTCAAGACTTTGAAGGACTGTCTCTTCATACTGTCTAGAGGATGAAAGCTTTAGAGACAGAAAAGGTGCCCCCTTGCCAGGGAAGGCCTCTCCAGAACTTTTTTCCCTTACTATCTACAGGTAATAAAAAGAGTTATCGAGCCAACAGAACTGTTGCCAAAATCACTGTTCTCAGGAACTTCAAATTACTGAACTTAAAACCTGCCCTGTGTGAAGGATTTGTTGTAGTAGCCAACATTTTGTCCTTTCTACTCCCATAATCTACAAGGAAAGGAGAAAACTGCTTGCAGAGAAATAAATTTTACCGTACGGATTGAGAGGGATGAGGCTGTGGAGGGTTTTTTCTTGCTTTTCCCCCCACCTCGCAAAGCAGCTTTACCATTTAACCATCCTATACTGCACTTAGGCTCCCACCCACGCATGCTTCCAACCTGCAGCACAGAGCTGGAGAGGCCAGAACCTGCCGGGCAGCAGGACCCCCGGCCCCCACCGGCAGGCCCGGCGGTCCCCGGGGTGTTCCCCGGGCCCGGCAGCGGGCGCTCTGCGGGGCAGCAACCGCGGCGCGGCGGGGAGCGGGCCATGCCCGTCCGCCCGGGGCGCCTCCCCCGCGGGCCCGAGGCAGGGACAGGCCCCGAGGCAGCGCCTCCATCCCGGCCGGCGCCGCCACAACTCACTCACCGCCCCGACACCGCCGCGCCGCCCGCCGGGAGCGCTCCCGGTGGGGCGGAGCCGGAGCAGAGGCCGGCCCCTCGTCCGAGGGGCGGAGAGCGCCGCCCGGTGCGCCCTGTGAGCCCCGCGGGGCATCGGGCGGTCAAAGGACGTGATTGTCCCGCTCTGGTCTGCACTGGGGCGGCCTCACCTCGGATATGGTGTGTAGTTTGGGGCACCACAATGTGAGAAAGACATTAAGCCATTAGAGAGTGCCCAGTGAGGGCCGTGGGGTGAAGGTTCTGGAGGGGAAGCCTTATGGAGAGCAGCTGAGGACATTTGTTCTGTTCAGCCTGGAGAGAAGGAGACTGAGGGGAGACCTCACCGCAGTCTACAACTTCCTCACGAGGGGAAGTGGAGGGGCAAGTACTGATTCCTCACTGTGGTGATCAGTAAATGGAAGGAATATGAGTCAGATGAGGTTTAGGTTGGATATTAGGATATCACGTTTTTCAGCCAAAAGGTGGTTGAGAAGTGGAACAGGCTCCCCAGGGAAGTGGTCACAGCACCTAGTTTGACAGAGTTCAAGAAGAATGTGGACAATGGTGTGATTTTCGGGGTGTCCTGCAGAGGGACAGGAGTTGGACTCAATGATCCTGATGGGTCCCTTCCAACTCAGCGTATTCTATGATTCTATGAAACTGGGTTAACTGGTTGCCTTCTTTGGGCTGTCTTTCTGGAGGGAATAAAGTGTTACAATTATTAATAATCATCTCACAACTAAGCTGACCCATTATCAGGAAAAGAGTGCAGTTTTCTAGATTTCTTCAGGTATTCCACAAACACACAGGATTTACATTTTTAAGGTTTCCCTTCACAACCAAGGCAGAGACTTACTCTCTTTGTAAATCAAAAAGTTCCCTTTAATCAACACCTCAACATCACTAAATTTTTCAGTTAGAAATACATATATACATATTTAAAATATTTTTGCAGCCTACATTTCCTTTATTTATAAATCTTTACAAAACTGCTTTGCCTTAGTATCAACATCACAGAAGTTTAGGAGGAAGATCGTACAACTCCAATTGATTTTGTATGCTAAGTCACACTGTGACTCTGCTGAGCTGAAAGAACCTACCAGTCAGACTTTACAAGGGCCTGGCATGACATTATGTGTCAAATGCATTTCTTGTTCAAAAATGTTCAGTAATACAGATAAAGATTTTTGAAAGAACTGTGCAAGCCAATGAGAAAATGCCTTCTATAGCAAGTCTTCTTTTTTTTTTTTTTTTAATGTGGATACTAGAAAGAGGTCTGATATGTCAGTAATAATCACAAAGAGGATTAGCAGGCAGAATGCAGATATCAAATGTGATAGATACACTACTTGCATATCACTGTATGTATTGTGTTGCACATATAATCATTGTGTATATGCATAGAAAATGAAGGAGTGAGAGCTGATTGAAGAGAACCCATTTCACAGACCAGACTAGAACACCTCTCTTGGATATATAAATACTCTGACAAAGCCAAAACACAATAGCAAAATAAGAAACGAGTCCCAGAAATTATTTTAGATCCTAAATAAGACACACAAAGAAACTAACACTTTACTCTTTTTTTCTGTCATGCTTTTTGAGAATTCTCATGATCTCAAAGACGGTGCTCGTGCTGACAGAGACCTCTGCAAGCATGCACCGGAGGGCAGCAGATCCCAACCTGTGCTGCATCATGAGGTGCTTCGAAAAGGGGAAAAAAAAAGCCCCTTTAGCCTAACATTGGTTATTTGTTCCGTTGATGGCCATATTTTTCACATGCTATTGTTTACCAGGCAGATATCATGGGGAAATCCATGCAGTGCTATATGTTCCAGTCTTCTGCACCACCCCTACGTTAGGCCCATGATACAAATAGCTGAAGGGATGTTGTTAAGACAGTGCTGATTCATCCTCAGATGACAAAACAAGCACTCTTATCCTGTTAAGTGATGCTCAGTGTTTACCACATCAGCAGAGATAGTAAAGAATAGAGGGGGTTTTAAATCTTGTCTGCCCCAACTGGCACTGATATTTCATCTCTCGCAAGACACCTGATATGTGTGACTCCTGTTGGTAGAAGAGGATCTTTTGAGCATGAGAGTTAATAGGATCCACTGCAGTTTAAGTAACACAGCAAAGGCAGTAGTGTCTGTTCTATTAGTTACAATTCTGTAGCATCTGGTGCAACAGTTTCGGTCTAAATTTCAACTGAAGTAATATGAAAAACATACAAGAGGTCCAAATTTTGCAACAATCAAAGTCTGCTGTAATAATGGACCACTATGAAAATTCTAGTTGCTACCTATGCTCAGTGGCAATTTTTCAAGTTCTTCCCTCCAAAATGACAATTTAGGATTTTCTAACATAATAGCATTTTATGTTTTGAGCAGGAAAGCCTCAGTTTGCATATCAGTCAGAAGGAGGCCTGTCTCAACAGCATTAGAGAAACGAGGTGAGCAGTATGAAGGGCCAAAACTTTGTTTCAAAAATAGCTAGTTTAAAACAATTTTACGAGTTCTGGCACTACAGGGAAAACAGGAACACTGAGCCTAATGGTTAAATACATTGTCTTGTAAATGCAGCATTCAACAGTTTTCATTAAATTTAACTGGTCCTGAATCCCAGGATTCAGCTAAAGCAATAAATTTAGGTGTGGTGAGGTATTTACCTTTTCAGGTTTATCTTTCATACTTAGAAGTAATATTTATTTCTATATTTAAAAAGTATTTTTTCTAGCACCTGGGTGAAACTTTTCTGGACTATTTTAAGCACCCCAAGTATCTCATGCTGACTTTCAGTTTAGAAGCATCTCGCTCATTTTGTAAGTGCACAGTAATGCCTCCTCAATTTTTGATAAAAGTCTTCCATGGTTGGTCTAACTGCTTAACACATTCTCATTCATTAGAATTAAGAATTAGTGCATTTTTAGGCTAATTTCTTTTCATATAATCCAGTGCTGTCTTTTTTGTGAAGCAGGAATGGTGGTCGGGAGTTTCTACACTTCAAAACAGTTTAGTGAGGCAGTTCAATTGAGAGGAGAAAATTACTTGGCAGAACTTGGATGTCCAAGCACACTCATAACAGTCTGTGGAAAATCAGCTGACTTCAGCTCTGTTTTGTCCATCAGAGTTTTCTACCCTAAGCTGCAGTAGATAAGACTCTAATAAGCCTATATCTTGGTCAAATCAAAGTAGAGATGAAAAATTTAAATCAGCTTTCCCTTGGGATATAGCCAGTGCTTTCCAAAGTGGTATTATATACAAGTCATAAAAATAAAACCTTACACATGGCAGTTCCAAAAGACACATATGTGTTGTAATTTCCCTTTTACAGAGATTTAGGGCCCCAAAGATTTTTTTTTGTCAACAGGAGAAGACATTTAGTTACTGATGGGACGTATAAGTCTTTGTCACAGACTTGTTTACCAACAAGAAATAGACAAAAGCCTTTTTTTCTCATCACAAAAGCAACTGGACAGCAGATGAGAGAATCTCTTTGCTCACAATTCCTCTTCTTAGTATCTTCCTCTGTTCCTTTTCTCCCTCAGAACTGCACAGCTGTGCTTTTCCAGTCCTGCTTTTCAAGCAAAAGCACAGAAAGACATGCTGATATCTGCAGCAGTTCAGTGTCCAGTGCTGTGCTCATGCATGCAGTAGGTTAGAGAGGACATCCACACACCTCTTAGTCATGGACAACTTGCAGTCTCTCAGTGGGAGGGACCATCCTTACCCCCAGCCCACATTGCTATGCTGCCACTTCACAGTCTGCTGTACTGTGGCTGCAAGCCCTGTTTAAGAAAAAGAGTAATAATTTTGTCTTTTGCAATTCTTTGTTAAAGAGATATTCTAAGAAATTAGTGAGCCATCTTCAATAGAATCTATTATAACACAGATGAAGAAATAGAGCACAAATATCTTGCAGGCCTAACTTTGTTCCTACAGGCTGAGTCCAGCCAGCAACTGGATCGGGGAAGAGGATGTGGCTATCTGACTGCTCCCACACTGCATGACTAACACTGGATTGCATAAGGAGAGTCTGAGAAGCTGGAAATACTTCAGTGAGAATTTCCTATATTACTCACAGTATGGAGTATTAAACAAATGCATAAGACTTTTCAGTCATTTGGGGTGAGCTGTATGACTCATGTCTAACTACATTTTTTTATGATTAAACATTCCAAATATGTGCCAAGGAACTCCCCATAACAGGCTGTGCTGTAACCATTTATTTTGATTCTCATTCAAAAGTAATGAGTTTTTCTTTTTTTGCCTGCTAGCCTGCACTGTAACAATTTGCTTATCAGATAGTAGCTACTGTACATGCTTGGCACTATTTTAAAAAAGGCATCATAGCAAATTAATGTGATACTGGAGTTCAGATTATACTAGTTTTATTGCCTCTAAAGATCTAATCTTAGCGGGTGCTGAGAGCACTCCAATTTTAAATGACCTCATACATTTTGTATATCTAAAGAAAATGGAATGTAACTGCAGAGTGAGGCAGGTGTTGGATAACTAGCATTTCTTAGCAATACCCATAAACAAATTAATATTCATTTATTTGGACATTATTCAAACTGTCAATGCTGATTTTAAGTTGCATCTATGTATCCTTGACTTTATAAAATTATACATTTTTATGTTGTGAAGGTTTGTGGACAAAATTAGCTTTTTTCTCCCAGTGGAATCACGCCACTGACAACGAAAGAGAGTATGACAATGGAAGTATTTTCTGATAGATTCCAGAGGTGCCTTCCTTGTATTTGAATTTGGGTAGAGATACTTTGGTATAACAGAG